TATTGGTTGCAAGCCAACTGAGCATAGACAGTACATGAACTTATTCAAAAACTTACCTGGCAATCGGAAGACCGTCAAAAGGTGTCCTCTCTGGTGAGTTCTTCTCACCAGAGTCGCGGCTCTGTAAATACGAAGTACCGAAGGCAGGGATTTCACCTCCAAGCCAGTAATAAACCAGGGGTGGGGGCGCTTCCACTCAAGGCCCCATATCAGCGGCCTGGATTCTGTTTTTCGTCTTCGGTTTCGTCATAGGAACTGAGTTTTCAGCGAACGCAATATGTACCAACGGAGAGGCATCGAGCTTTTGAGCAAGGCCGCTGGAGTACGCTGAAAAACCCTATCGTTTACAAACTTCCTCAAAAAGTAACTCGCTAAATTTGAGCCAGCATTAATCCGCATTTTCATGTCATTATTCAGAACTGTAGATGGTCCCGCATTTGTTTTTTTTCACCCCGTTTCTCTGAGTTGCACGAGGAGTTCACGCATGAGTGACCATGCTCCGTCTCGCCCCTCACTTGAAAATTGGGACTTGGGGCACAGAAGCATTCCCTACCCTAGGTACTTCGTATGATAAGATGTAAGATGGCAGGCGGCTGAGTATCTTTTAAGTATGAAGTACCCCGTTAAGCCCAACCATAGTTCCGGGCCAGCCCAGAATCAAAGCTCTACTAGCCTACACTCAACCTCCTGCAGCCCCTTACAAACTAGCTGCATCATTTTAATTAATATTCAGAAGCCAATACTTGCTCTGTAGACCTAGTCTACCTAGTCGTAGTACTCTTAGGACTTAGGAACCTTCTTGAGCCCATACTGTGGAGAGAAGATGGCTATGACACAGTAAGCACAGTTATGACTGGGGAGAGATAGGTTGCCGCTCTACCTAGATCTGCAACAAGGACAGGATACCTAATACTGTCTCTGCATGCATGGGTAGATCTTCCCCCACCCACTGCAGCAGGCGCATGTGCACTGCGTGAATTATCTAAATCCAGTCAGCCCTMTCGAGCCTCGACATTCTTGTTTTTTTTACGCTTTGCAGCCTTCAGTGGCTTTAACTGAGGCTTTTGAGCCTTCAAAACAAGCTCTTCTTTCTAATCACGCGGACCCTTGCTGTCCTAATCATCTAATGTTTATTATTTACGGCCTTTGTTTCGTCTTTCCCCACGACTCCCCTCTCCATAGCTTGACAGGAAAACGCGCCGCCCACGCTACGCTGTGTTCGCCAACCGGGATGCCTTGAATGACTGTTATCGCTCAATTGGTCAACCCCTGGAATATTGGAATCCGGTTTAGAAATAATGCTCGCCTCTCTTCTCCGCCCGAAGAAACGAAGAGTTTACGCGGAACGTTCCCCATTTTCATCCCCTTACACGACTCGAGAAGGTCCTTGGCCTTTTCGCCAGGATGAGGCCCAACATGCAAGACCTGAGATGAGATACAACGAGACTCATGGCGCACTGCTTGACGATGAGGACTATCAACATGCAGATGATCTTGGTGAGGATGCAGACCAGGAGGAAGAAGATCATCCTATTGAGTCGACTCCTCTTCTTCCCATATTCTCTGCTTCGCACCTAGGTATGGTCATCTTCCTGAGATTTTTCAGGTTTTATATGATACAAGGACTAAATATGGGTCCGCTTTTGAACAGATGCTCTTCCGGTCTATGATATTACTCATGCGATTCGGCTGTTGATCGAGTCGCGATGCGAAACCACGCTGACATGGGACCAATTGCGCTCTCCCCAGATCTCACAGTTTCTGGTGAAGCCGATCCAGCAGAAGATTATAGCATTACACTTCTCACGTGGAACACTATACGCTCTGATGGCAAACTGCTTGCAGTTCAATAAGGAGATTCACTTGAATCCTGGAAACAGTGGTGCGTCCCAGACAAGAGCCATGGTGAGCGAGCTTCTTGCGATCAAGCTCCTCCGGGAATACTCGACCAGGGAGTTGATTGATGCGCTTTCTTACGAATTTTATCCCCTGCAAGGCCAGGCGTCACCGGTGGCTCAAGGCTTCCAAGAAACATCGGGCAAGTATCCTCCAACCGGCAACAAACCACTGGCAGGCGTTGCCCGTATTTCCTGCCTCGAGGTTGCTATTCGCGCTCAGGCGAAACGGTTCTTAGCTCATCCTGTAGTGGTACAGCAGCTAGAAGCAATTTGGGCTGGTACAATAGTATTCCATTCAGCTGCCGATAATCTTCATCGTACTCCAACGGCAGCACAACGGGATGGAGGGCCCGCATACGGCACTGCTCGCGCGGCATCCCACAGTTCAGCGCAGCTGGTCTCCAGGCCACGACGGTCAGTGACGCTTTACGATCCAAGAGACGCCTCTCTCTTCAAGCTCTCCCGGCTTAGGGTGCCTCGATACCGGCAATTTCTATCCACACTATCATTTGCTGTTCTCCTAGGCTTGTTTCTCGCAGTTCTGGTGCAACGGCGAGTGGATATCTCGTCTCTGGAGCTTATCTTCTGGTTTTGGAGCGCAGGGTTCATGCTTGACGAAATCGTTGGTTTCAACGAACAGGGCTTTAGTCTATATCTGATGAGCTTCTGGAACCTGTTTGACCTCGGGATTCTATTCCTCCTCTTTTGCTATTATTGCATGCGGCTATACGGTGCTCTGATGCCCAGCCCATACAATCACACAATTGCCGATAGAGCATATGACATCCTCGCCGCCAATGCGGTTCTCCTCTTTCCCCGACTCTTTTCGGTCCTGGATCACTACCGATATTTTTCGCAATTGCTTATTGCGTTCCGCATAATGGCTTCGGATTTGGTTGCAGTATTTCTTCTGGTCGCCATTACGTGTAGTGGTTTTTTTGTCGCCTTCACTCTATCGTTTGGCAACATTGAAGAGCATACCCCTGGGTCTGTTGCTTATGCCCTCTTCCAGATGTTGATGGGATTCACTCCCGCTGCGTGGACTCTCTGGGACGATTACAACATCCTGGGCAAGATCATTCTGACACTCTTCCTATTCATCTGTCATTTTGTCGTGGTGACTATCCTTATTACCGTTCTGACCAATTCTTTCATGGCAATTGTTCAGAATGCCAATCAAGAGCATCAATTCTTGTTTGCTGTCAATACAATTTCGATGGTCAAGTCGGATGCGCTCTTCTCCTACGTGGCACCGACTAATATCATTGCGTGGTTGGTCACGCCGCTCCGTTATTTCATGCCTTTCAGACAGTTCATCCGACTCAATCGTACTATCATCAAAATCACACATTTTCCGGTCCTCTTCACCATTTGCCTTTACGAGAAGGCAATCCTCAGTCCCAGAGTAAGCGAGCCAATTGATCTCATTGATCCTTCGATTCATCCCGACGCCCTGTCTCGCAGCCGCCCCCGTCATGGTCGCTTCAAGTCATTTAATCCTCAGGCTCCTCGGCTTGTACGAGAGCCATCGGTGGCAACATACCAGAAAGACCGCGCTCTTGATGAAGTTTTCCGGAATCCTTTGGAGGAGACAAATCGGCGTCCGCCGAGGCTGATGCAACAGAGAAAGAGCAATAATATTGTTAGCAATTGGATGCAAGCTATGGGGTCTGGGCCTGTACATCCTCCCGATGAGCAGGACTCGGATGAAGTGGATCGATTGGAGAGACCACCCAGGAGGTCTCGATTTCTCGTTCGAGGAAGGACCACTGGAAGTCTCCGCAATTTCACCGATTCCAACCGTTCTGCCACGTCCGATCCTGAAAGGCATGTCGGTCATATTGTCTCCTCGCCTGCCACGCCGCGTCGTGAGAGAGTCAATATGTCTCCGGCCAGGGTACGGCAGCTTTCTCGGCACACGGACATTGAAGGCGACGATGAGTTAACCAGCAATGATACAGAAGTACGCCGGTCGAATTCTTCAAGTTCTGAGAGAAAGGGCGGGGTGAGTCCAGGTAAAGCAACACCAAAGTTCTACAGCTCCCGGCCCTCCACAGCGAGAGTCAAATCACGCAAAAACAGTCCTTCCCGGCGGCCCAAGTTCCACACGCGGAATTACTCCGCTGCGACAATGCTTTACAACCCTGTTCCCTCGGTCAGCAATGACGAAGAAACCGACGTTTCTCCTGTTCCCATCAGACCCAGGGCGGAGACGCCTTTGCCAGGGGATGATGCAGCCACCGCAACTTCTGTAGACCAATGGATGCAAAGAAGACATAGTTTGGATGTTGGAGTTTCTCAAAACGTGGCTTTGCCCAGGTCAAATCCCATGTCTGTACCTGACTTGGGCGGCTTCTTACCAACCGAGTCGCAATACCGGGGTCGCCGTCATGCATCCCATCTATATGGGCTGGGCTCTGACCTGGGCGACAATAGGGCAATTGCAAATGGATTCTTGGCTGCTTTGCCTGCAAGCTTCACGACGCAATTGGAATATGCCGCGGGTGGCATCCCCCGACCTGACAGCTCTAGTAGCAATCAAGACATGCTCAGCAAGCTTGTCCTGGCTCGCATGAACAATATTGAAGTGGGATTCCGCGAGATGCTGAAAGAAGTTAAAGATCTGCGGCGGGGCGAGTCCAGTCGAAGCCAGAGTCGACCTGACGAGATGAGAAGCGCCCAAAGAGACAAGAAGAAACGTATGGAGAGCAGGGATTCGAAGAAAAAGGCTCAAGGGTCCCGCAAAAGCAAGAATAGCAGCGAGGGGATGCAGTCCGATGGATCATCGACGGACTCATGACCACGAGACTATATGACATGATGATACTACGCGCTCATGATTTCCTTTCTACCACAGGCTCGTAAGCGAGCAGTAATGACGTGAATCTCCTTTTTGGCTTGTTGTGTCTATCACCGAGTGGCTGTCTCATATCATTTACATCTGTCTGCAATTGATACCCTCTATAGTGAGCCAGAATCATGAAATGTCCTGTTGTTTTTACTTCACCAGACTTTCATTAGGCCTGATCCGCCCAAACCATCAGTACCATGTTCATGGAAGTCGCTCGTGAGCCTCTCAGAAGCAAGCATCCAGATTCAACTCTATTTCTTCCTTATATCCTCAGGCACGAACCCCCTCCTGTTTCCCTCAGGGAACTTGTCACCGTGACCACCCTGCATAGCCGCCCGCTCCTCGTCGGAAACCAGAGATCTCCCATGCTTGGGCGCAAGCGCACGGAACATCAGCCACGCCCCAGTTATAACGCCGAACATGCTCGCCAAGGCGAAATTTCGGGACCTGTCAAAGCAAGACGGGAATGAAAGTTCAGATAGCTGTCTTTGTATACAGTAAGATCTTGCACGAGATGACGTACTGGACAGCTCCTTTGTGGCCATGCGTCAAGGGTCCATCTTTTGCCATTTCTTGTTCTTTTGATGCCGAGGTGGACGGTTTGTTTAGTGGTGTTTGGGTTGGTCTAGTCGTGAGGTTTCTTGATCGAAATTATGGTCTAAGAGCTGTGGTCCTTGGTCAACGGAGCATCTCTTGTAGTCCTCTGGCTAATGACCTGCCCATGATACTATATCTTTGCGATGATTTGACGTCACGTTGAAGCTTGAACCAGGAACCAGGGACACTCGGATATGTACCATGGATCGACCATTGATTTATCTGTATATTTGTGTTTCTAGCTTACCACTGCCCGTATATCCCCGTATATCCTTCTTTTGGGGTGTTCTCCTGTAGTAGAGAAAGTGTAGGTAGGCGGGATGTCAATGCTTCACAATAATCCCCTAACATGGAAAAAGCGGCGTAGCAAGACTCTTACTTGATCCATCAACAAACACCATTTATTAATATGGCCAAATAGCACAGTACAGGTTTAAACTTCGTTGTCGGGCAGGTACTATCAGCGAATCATATCTTTCTTCTCATCATAGCCCATGTGTGCGCGAAAAAAGCAGACGGAAGGCTACAAGGAAGCACATGCGTTTTGCCATCGGGTGCAGCAGTGGTCACACGTAGTCAGCCTCATTACACAAGACAGGAATGAGGCTGACTCGACATATGGTCTTAATAATATTTTTGTTCTTCTTCCGTTTGAAATCTTCTAGGGATCTCTTTCGGCATTTCTGGACATCTAGTCATGTTTTAAGCATTGTTACTCGTCGATAACTCAGAGGTTCCATCGTCTTTGTTCTGTTCTCTTCCCACCTACCCCTGGTATACAGCGGCGATATACAAACTGAGGCTGCTTGACGCTAGCACCAGAGGATAGCGTGCTGTGACGACTCTGCTTGGATCCGGAAACAGATGATTCAACGACGCGACAAATGATCAATCCCCTCAACACACCAGTTCAAGGTTACCTCCGCTGTATGGATATGGACTCCTCTAGTAATGAACGAGCTGAGGGGGACTCCTCTCCTTTTAAAGTAAAGGAATGGCAGTGGCCACGATTTCCTTCTGGAGCCACCTACATCCCCATGCGGCCAACACCCCCGAGGACCGAGATCAGAAACACTCCTGAGCCCTGCCCGTCGCTGCTCCTTCTAGACAACGCAGACACTCTCGTATTCATCGATTCACCGCCACGATCATCGACCAGCTCCCTTTTACCTGCCTCAGGAGAATATGTCCCGCACCGCATTCACAGCCAGAAGCTCTTGCAAACTAATTCTCCGTTCTTCAAGAAGCTCTTCAATCCGAGGACGCAAGCTCGGATTGTCAAGCGCCGTGGACTCACAGATGGGCTTACAAACGGGCTCAAGTATGCTATAGATCTGACTCCTCCGACAGAGGGAGAAGATGCGGTCATCGCCATCACGGAGCTTTCTTGCCCACTTGGTATCAGGACATGGTCCCGCTGTCAGAAACGATGGTGCCTCCCTATGTCGTGCGTTGGGGGGCAGGACGAGGATGCGGTGTTGGATACAAATACACACAAAGGCTTCGGCGGACGGCCGTCCCAGGAGTCGAATGATTCAGTCCCGCAGAATCCTGAGATAGATGAACAGAGTGGGAACCACCAGAAAGATGATATGGGAACGCCCGAGGCTTCAAGTTTTGCAGCAGAACGCGGGAAGCTTGGACTACCGCTGGACTACTCTGCTTCTCGCCATCGTGCAGGCATTGAGCAGGTCTTGCAGGCTCTGGAGGACTTTCATCCTCAACTTGATACCCCTTGCAAGCTTTGGACCTTTTTCGCCCTGGCGAAGCTGTATGATATTGCCACAGCACCGAAGATATGCGACCTCATTCTTTCCTGGTTTTACGAGTCCACCAACGTTCGGTTCCTTGAGATCCACCCGGAGATCAGCTATCGGATTGCCTGTGGAATTCAGTGCGCCTCCCTCTGTCGAGACACCTTCTCTATCCTTGTAGGGGAGGAAGCCCTACTTCTGCTGGCTAACGGGGACGAAGCGGCCCGTCTGGAGAGGCCTCGGGTGACATGGCATGGACGCCTCCGTGAGTCGCTAGATGACACCGAGCTCCAGCGTATTGAGTACGCAAGTAAGAGCTTCCTGGATCATGTTATAAATCGTTTCGTTCACTTGATGGGGGCTAGCATGGCATGGCTCCATGATTTATCCGAGTTTCAGAAAGTTCACCGTTTCCAACCAAGGTCCTCACCAGAAGAGAAAGCCAAGTCTCAGCTTCTCACTGCTCTGAAAGACTTTGTGAGATGCACCTTATTGTCGCCACTAACGGGCCGTGTTCCTGAGAGAGGGAACCCAAAAGCATCCCTCAGCTCGCAGGACCATGAGGGCTATCCACCACCGAATTTCGCAAACGCTTACATGGAGATGTCACCGGCAGAGCGCATAATTAGTAGGACGTTTTGGCACAGTCTATCCCTGGAGACTTTTAGTGGCCAGTGCCCTATTCTCTCCGCAAGGCCTTCCGTCATTACCTCCCTTGCCAAGATCATTCCACAGTTCAGAGAGCAAGAGGACTGGCAGACCAATGGTATATCACGAAAAGAGTTGATAGCCAGAGTAGTAGGCTTCAATTCTTTCTACAGGAGGTTTGCGCGGAGAGTCTTCGATTGGGATGCGAGCCGGCCTCAAATGACCGCAAATGCCTCCCGATCCGAGTCTTCTATATACAGCGCACCCCAACTACAGAACCTCCCGGGTATTGATTTGGTTCTACCGCTTGAGACGATAGAATTTGACTTGGATACCTTCTTTAATCAGGTTCAGCGCTACGTAAATGACTACGCAAAGCTGATCACCCTTGGGTCTTCGACCATGTTCTACGAATTGACTGATACTCTGACAGGTCTCACGGAGAATGAGTTCAAATATCTTCCCTTGTGGGCTGGTGGCAATGATGACGGATCCGGAGGCGTCTTTACTGATGATAACGTGCCATTACTTGAGACGGGAGGCTTCTCGACCCCGGGACCAGCAATCCATACAGGTAGTACGGCCTCTTCTGTGATGTCGCATTCCACTATCGCGCCCTCAGAGTTTGAGAGTACAGTTCAGGGTGCCTCCCACAGGGCTACGGAAAGTCATCAGAGTGATGTAATGTCGATTGATACGGATATTGATCAGGACAGTGGAAGAAACAGTGACCATGCATCATTTTCGTGGCAGGGTGCTGGCGACAATACATCGATCGATCTGAGCTCGGCTGATGACGGGGAGTTCGACTTCGATTCTGCGAGTGACTCTACCGGCACCGTTGTTATGGGCTCTCCGAGTCATAGTGACCTTTTGAGTGACTTTGAGGAGGTGCATGTGGACGACAACAATGCCTCTGGTTCACGTCCCTGAATGCTGATTTGGCGACTTGGAATCCACGATTTGGGATGGACCATTCGGGGTATTAGGATGTTACACCAATAACGCATTATGATTGATGAATAATGATATTGAGCCCTTCGGTTGTTACATGCATACGGCATGTCCTACAAATATATTGGAAAACCTTCAGCAAGTATACCATGGTATGAATTATGTCTCGGGTGTMGCTAGTGAGGAGCCCGCTTGATTCTCATTGTAATTCTGTCTCAGATCTAGAAAAGAGTTTCATCCCGAGCTTAGACAAACTCCATTGAGTTGACTCTAGGAACAAAGGTATTGTCGTCGGTTGTATAGGTGACAATGCTCTTTGAAACACCTTTGTCCACATGGCCTTTCTACTCATATATTTTTGTGACACTGACATGCTGAGCAGTACCTGGTTTGTCTCAGCCAGTAAATGTCTAACTAAGAAGGAATGAGGTACCCTATGTGCAAACGAGGGTAAATGTCCAATGCAGACACTAACGAGGTGCCAGTCCGACTTCTTCAAGTCTTGATATCTAGAGATCCATTGTCAAAGCAATGAAACCATGCCATTGTCCTTGTGTTCGACGATTGTCTTCGAAATACGGCTTAGGGCTTTGTATCCACTTGCTTCTTCATGGTAATTGCAGCGCTTAAAGAAGAAAGGTAAGTGATGCACAGGAAAAAGACACAGCTCGAGTTGATACACTGTGGGTTCAGAAGTCTGTGGCATCATTCTTGTGAATTTCTTTCTTCAGAAATCTCGCATTGCAAGACAAGAGTCTTTATGCCCTGGTAAGACAGACCAGCTGATGAAAGCATCAACTTCGCCAGATGCAGTATAAAAGCTAGCTCACCTTTTCTGTTATGCCTTGCCATCCAAACCCATCCAACTCACTTGCTGCTCTCGGCTCATCTCTATATGCTTCGCCTCGTCTTCTGCCAACCTTTTCTGCTTAAAAGCTCGGACAATTCCTGAACAACTGCACCATGCCCGCACAACGCCATGTAACTCGCACTCCTACGAGGAACCCACCTAGCAATGACCTCAGGAGGCAGGTTCTGACCCGCAACTCTGGCGCGCCTTCCAGGAAGTCTTCCAACCTACCTCGCAGGGACCCAAGTGTCCCGGCGAGCGAGGTCCATCCCGCCCTGAGAACTGTAAGTAATTTCCATTATCTGCCCAGTCATTTCTTTGCTAACAGATCTCAGTATCGCCAAGCCCCCAGCGTCAAGCCCATCATTGATGTCCTAGACGGTGAGAATAGTCTTTGGGATCTTACTGAGATCTGGTACCAGATCCTCAAACTCCACTGTGCCCCGGAAGACGGCTTCATCATCAAAGCCCTTCCCGAGGCAGCCAGTCCTGAGACACCAGAGACGTACGGACTGCATTCGATGACCGTTACCGGACCTGGTGCAGAAGGATTCAGCACCTTCTTTGCCATCGTTTGCGCGACCGCAGTGTATCAGGACAGGACATCTGTCCGCTTGCGAGCTGCTAATGAACTCAGAAGGCTGCTCGCTGAGATATATCACGCGCGCGTAACGAATGGACAGTACTCTCAGCTCCGTGGAGCTGTCGCGGTTGGTCAATCTGTTCAGTTCTTCAATTGGGGTGAGGATGATGGAGTTCTAAGGGTGTTTCCCTGGGCGACACACCCGTTCGATATCAAAGGCGACCATTACGCTGTCCAAGGTTGTCTTGACATTGTCGTCCAGAATCATTAATTCATTTGTCTAACTCCTTTTTTTAGCAGTGACGCACATTCTTACGCCGGCATTGCGACAACCGACTCAGTCCTGTACCAACTGGGGAGGATAAGAAGGGTCGCTCTAAGCTCGATCATCGCTTTTCAGGTACGTCTTGACTCTCTGTTTGGTTCCGTGGTTGATTCTTTCTTTATTGAGTATGTAGTAGGCGTTTGGAGTATTATTTGCTTGGAGTTAGTCGAATGTGCATTGCGTCTTCCCGATCGACCCTTACCACGTGCTGTGTAAATGATCAGCTCTCTCTTTCTTTCGTAGGTCGATGGCTGCATTTGTAGATGTCTTATCACGTGACATAATCTGGGGTTCTTGGCGGCGACGTCACGGAATTCCACCGCCGTCTTGCAACGGAATCTCTCCTGATCTTCAGAGTTCAAGGAATAAGGACCCGGAAAAATATCAGTTTGGTATTGAATTATACAGTCTAGTCACCCCTGGAGCGACCACTTGATTTATCATTCGTCTAGCAAAGGTCTCCCATCATTATGGCCTCCTCATCACAACCTTCGAGCTTCTTGCTCTAGTATGTTCTACCCATATTTTCGGACGTCCCCAGCGCTCTAGACTAACAGATCTTCGACAGCTCTTGTATAGCACACCGCACAACTATTCTTGCAGAGCATTCGTCACCCGGGACATCCTCTACTGCAGCCTCTTCGCTAGCATCCATTATCCTCCCTAAGATCACGCATGACAAGCCCCAGAAGCTCACTTACACACATGAGCGTCTCTTCGTCCATTACGTCGCAGATTCACCCACAGGCTCTTCAGACGATGCTGGTCGCCAAGAACCAAACTCCTATGCACCACTCAGCTACATCGTCGTGGCGACCGCTGAACAAGGCCGTCGCATTCCATTTGCCTTTCTCCTCGAGATGAAACGCAAGTTCTTATCGACCTACCCCCCTTCAAGCACTGATTTCTCTTCTCTCCCCGCATACGGCTGTGCCGCTTTTAACTCGGAGCTTCGTTCTCTCCTCCAAACATACAACACCGCCCCGCCGTCGGACTCGCTTGCTTCAGCCCGACGGGAGATCGACAGCGTTCGTGACATTATGACGGAGAATATTGAGCGGGTCCTTGAGCGTGGTGAACGGATTGATTTGTTGGTCGATAAGACTGATCGGCTCGGGGGCAGCGCACACGACTTCCGGGTCCGGAGTCGCGGTCTGCGGCGGCGGATGTGGTGGAAAAACATCAAGCTGATGGTGCTTTTGGCTGTTGTGGTGGTCTTCCTCGTCTATCTTTTCGTCGGTATTGGATGCGGCTTGCCGGCTTGGGGGAAGTGTGTTGGGCACAGTGAGTAGGGCTCGTGTCGTTCTTCAAGTCATGGCTCCACCGTCACTGAACGATGGGAGTGATATCCTCTTTTCTGTACACATACCCTTTCCGACTGTAAAACGTACGTCAATCGCTCTGTGGATTGCCAGCTTACGATAGCATTTACGATTGTGACCTTTTTTGTCCGTCTCTGTCTGTGATATCGCTTGCCTGATATCGCTTTCCTGATATCGCTTGCCTGATATCGCTTGCCTGATATCGCTTGCCTGATATCGCTTGCCTGATATCGCTTGCCTGATATCGCTTGCCTGATATCGCNATCGCTTGCCTGATATCGCTTGCCTGATATCGCTTGCCTGATATCGCTTGCCTGATATCGCTTGCCTGATATCGCTTGCCTGATATCGCTTGCCTTGTATGTACTCTATGTGATTCGACAGCTTTATACTGCAATTTTAGCCTATGCACATGAAGTAACAGCATGAGTTCGATGAATGTACCAGCGCTATCACTTGCTTCAGAAATATACCCTTTTGTCTCACATATTTTATGATCGTTGGTTCGTCGGTCATGCGGCTAGCGATCCTGGTGGAAGCGAAATATATATTGCTGTTCTGGGAACTACTCAATGCTAACAAACGGCCTATTTCTCCAACATAAACGACATTTCGGTTCACTAAATAGTGTGGTACTGGTCATTGAATCATTGTCTGTCAGAAATTCCAATTACTTCATTTACCTTATGGACGTAGCCATTGGTATATCTCGTGCAAGCGCACGTGCTTTGTTCACGACGAGCGGTATCGAGATTCCAGCAGTATAGCGGCAATCTTATCAGATTGGAGAAATTTGACTTTCAATAACAACATTGGTTCATTCTCTAAGAAACAATATCTAGCTTCTACGGAGGTATGTCCCTCGCTATCAAACTCGCAGCTTCCTTGCTAACGCTCAGTGCGAGTCTGCAAGCGAGCGGAAATAACCTCTGGTTGATACCAGTTTGGTTGTTTTCCGCGGTTCATTCTGCGCCAGCCGTATACCTCTCCAACCATGGGAACCGTCCCGGAGGACGGGGTTGATGAGGAGATAATCTGGCGCTATTCCAGGGAAATGGGGGAAGGGGGATCGGGTGGCTACGAGGCGTTTCTCTAGCTGAACGCATCTGTGTTCAATTCACAATGTCACGGATTGCTGCGATGGGCATGCTGACTGATTCCGTGCGCTGCGTTGCCTCGGGGCTGGGATTTGCGTTTGGTCGTTGGCGTTGTGGGTGATTTGTTTTGGGAGGGGGGAAACGGAGACCTGGAAGTAAAACGATGCCGCCAGATCAGATCAGTGAGTGAAGAATCCGAACAAACGCAGTGGATCTGAGATTTCGGTTGTATTCTCGATAGGAGTTACCTAAATGCACTGCAGGTGTCGGGTGAGAGGAAGGATCAGGAACGCAAACTGATGACGCTCAGAGCCAAACCAGAAATGAGATGAAGAAGAAATTTTGCACTTTTTTTCTTTCCATTCATAGCGTGCACCTGTCTTGGAAGACGGAAGCCTGGTCATAGCAGGTTTATTTTCTCATTTTGAGTATCTCATGTACTCCCACGCCATCGCCCCTATTGCAACAAGAAACACAGAAAACAAGTCCCTTAAGCACGAGCCTTAGCAGCCTCACGGCCCTTTCCGATGCGCTCCAGAATCTGTTCGCGGTCCTTGTCCAGCTTGAGCTTGGTGATAACGACCTTCGAGGGGTGGATGGGGATAGGGACGCTCTGGCCGTTGGACTTCTCACGGACGACACGCTCGACGTGAACGCACCACTTGAGACGGTAGACGGTGGTGATCTTTCCCTCGCGTCCCTTGTTGGAGCCGCGCACAACGGTGACCTCGTCGTCCTTGCGGATGGGGATGGCGCGAACCTATAGAGCATCTGTCAGAAACGAACATCCTTCCAGTTCTTTGCAGTGATGCCTGGCTATCCTCCTGCGAGAGTCCCTCTGAACAAGAGTGTAGAATCTGAGAACGGGAGATGATCGGTTTAGGAGAGGTGGCATAACGGGAGGCGTACGTTGTACTTCTCACGGAGTTCCTTGCTCAGAGGAGCGCTCATGATAACACGGCGCTCGCTGGAGGGAGCGCTGAAGTGCGCCTTGCGCGACTTCCGGCGGGAAGAGGCGATTCCTGTCATTGAAAATCGAGTCAGTATCCTCCCAATAAAATTCCTGAGCGTAGGCGGTTTGAGAATGTGTCTTCCGGGAGAGTAAAATATCTAGGGCGTATTCGAGGAACAGGACGATGCTATAAGGGTTTATTGAGCAAAATAAGTCGAACATACCGTTGTTCATGACGGTCATCTTGATGGGCCTCTTTTTCTGATATGACCGGGCGTGGTGAACGTTGTCGTCGTTAGTCGTCGTCGAAACAGGACTCTTTTTGCTGTATTCTCAAAGTGTTAGCCGAAAATGTGTGGGAGCCCGAATGTGCGTCACATGACATCCCGCTTAGGCTAGGGTTGGCGGCTTTCCGCTGATTGGCTGACGTTGCCCCTCTCTCCGGAAGGGAAAGTTCCTTGCCTGACCTATTGTTGCGGCCCCTCCGGGGCGCGCGCGGATCGGCCTAAGTCTCACTACGGAGCGTGTCGCATTACTGATTCTCGCATCAGCACCGAGTGAGATGAAGGTAGACACACGCGCCTGCTAAATAGTCCTTCTTAGTGACATGTTTGACCTCACTCGGACCTCTCCGTCCTTGATCTTGCACCATGCTTAGCGTCTTGAACGGGCCCCTCAATTGCTCCGCAGCAACATTGTCCGCCCAAGATGGCGAACGATTACTTCGAATGGCTTCAGAATTACCGAGAGACAGGTCCTTCTCAGTTCCCTCAACAGAATCAATATGCTGCTTCCCCGACGCCTTTTCAGGGCTACCCGGATTCGTTCTTGGATTTCCCCCCTGCATCTCAAACACCATTGAGCGACATTCGCCAACCGTACCATTATCAAACACATTATGCTCCTCTTGAGCAATATGTGAGGCCACAAGACCCAGCATATTCCTCATCAAGTGCCTATCCTTTTACCTCTTATCAAGGAGGACAGCAATACCGAGCAAACCCACTTGCAACAACACAACAACCACCTCCTGCCCCTACTCCTCCTTCGACCCTCTCACAAACCCTGCCTGCGGACTCAGCTCAGACACAACCGCAAAATACTTTGTCATATCTGAACTACCCACCTTTTGCGCGAGCGACCGAGGTCGTTGATGCTGACATTAGTGGGCATGATGCGAAGAGGCGTCGTCTTGAATCACCCGCGACTGTGACCATGTCGAAGCCGACAATGCCGCCTCAAGAAAGTCTCTCGAAATTTTCCTTTACTCCGCAAGACACCACGGACAGGAGCTTCCTGAGAACGCGTACGGATATAGCAAAACCTCTGAACGTGACTGAGGCGGCGGAAAAGCTACAATACGATCCGAAAACAATCGCGCGGGATGTTTTGATTGCGTCTGGGCGCCATCCTACGGAAGCTCCTCTGAACCATCACCTATTCCGCCTTCGAGATGTCTTCGTCGGACTCGACACTGCTTCAGATTTGGAGACCTTTCGCTGGGATCTTGTAGACCCAGAGGAGAAGCAGGCCAATAACACAAGCACAGCACGTGACATTCACCCGCTCTCCGCGCCAGCGCATTTGACTTCCGCCATGGCGCGTCCAGCCCAACCAAATCCTCCATATGCTGGTGTTGCTGCAACTCCACAGCACCATCGTCAACAACATCAACAACTAGGACAACTACAGCCACGGCCACTGCATACGTTACAGGTATCACAGACAGGCCCTCAGCAGAAATCCCCATCTCAGCCCGATTCCCAGAGACAAGTACAGCTTCCCTCTGATCCCCAGTCTCGGTCGCACCCTCCGCCCCAAGTACAACTGCAAGTCCAGCCGCCATCGCAGCCACAATTAAAGCCCGGACCCTCGATTCAAATACGTACAAAGTCACAGCCGTCTCCTAAAGCAAAGTCGTCCCCTCGTCAATCAACCAATATGGTCGGCAAAAGACCTCCTGGACGACCGCCCGCGAGCTCTAAGATTGAGGTTACAATACCCGTCACTTCCCAAATTCCATATCAGGTCTACACGTGTGGCTGGGAGAATTGTCAAGCGGAGCTGCACAATCTTGAAATGCTCAAGAAGCACATCTTCAAAGTTCACGTGCCTTACACGCTCACGTGTCAATGGAAAGACTGCACATTTCGAGAGAACTTACCGGCGGTGCAATTGTACAAGCATGTCCTTTCAGAACATGTGGTGTCTATCGCATGGACGCTGGGCGACGGACCATCAGTGCCTGCAACTGGTGAGAAAGCATCGAGATGATTGAGTTTATGTTTTTTTGTTTTGTTGCTCAATGGATTCGGTGGTTAACAATTTTCGTCTTTACCTGCCATCTAGAGGGTCGTGTTGTCGACGAAAGTCCCGTTCCCAAAACCATCCCGGACTCTATTCAGCCAGGAGGCGAAGACTCTCTAGTATTCCCTGCAAGCTACAGTTCGATTCGCGCATTCAACCGTGTCCATGGCAACCATACTCAAATTGAGAAAGCCCGGGAGATCTTCAAGGCAGTACAGAGGCTGAAGGAACATATTGGGTATGGATTAGATCCCGGTGGATGCCAGTTGGCTACGCCCGCAAGGATTGGGAGAGTGAGCAACGATGAGGATGTCTATGCAGTGAGGCATGAGTCTTAGCGCATTTCAGGTTTAATGATACCCCTTCGATCTTGTGTTTTATTCAGCTGTTGTTTGTATAGTGGTTACAGCAATTGGCGTCAAGGACTTTTTCGCATCGAGCGGGCTCTTCGGCGTTTTGATTTCATTGATATTGGTGCATCTTTTCAAGTTTACTGGACATAGCATTTATTCAAAGCGCAGGGACAAGTTAAAAGGACGTTCATTGTCCTTCATGCTGAAACACGATCCCCAAGTATACAATAGCTACCGGTCCTTCCCACCTCCAATTGCTGATGTGCCCCCCGCGGCCGCGGCCGCCGCAGCCGGTGCCGGCGTTACACCGGCAGTAGTAGAACCTTCGACCGACTTCTTGACATCGGGGACTTCTCCTTCAATGGCATCGTCCTTCGCATTGACTTCGAGGAAATGGTAGAGTACTATCATCATCATCGCGCACGATCCAAGGAAGATGGCGAGACGGTAGAGGTCGTCGTCGGAAATCATGTTGAAGTAGGGTGTATTCTTGTATGCGCAGTATCTGAAATGAGCCCTAGCGTTGGAATAGATAGTCCAGGTGGTTTGAGCTAAGTAGCAGTGCGACCGGTCGAAAAATGAAGCTGTTTGGAGTAGTCCTAGGGAAATTAGTATTATTCGGGATAGATAGTAAGGAACACGGTGTTTCCAAACGCTTACCGAATGAATGACTCTGTTCACCAATCAATACTCCCGCACCATTAAACAAACAATGGATTTAGGACTGTTGAAGCGAAGATTGACTGCTGAAGATGAGTGGCAGACAATGGTGGTATCGCAAGTTGACAGCTGGAATTACGGAAGTAGATTAATTGGATGTCGTACGCAGGCGCTTCTGAGGTAAGCTCCTCCCCTCGGCTGAGCCACCACTTTTAAGTCTTGAGACTCTCAAAGACCCGCCGACCTATCAGCCTGGCTTCCATCGAGACTAACTGTCTTCATCGACTCCAAAATCACCGACTTGCAAGCGTTTATCTGTCACTTTTCCTAACCGATCCCTCTTCCTTCTGGACTATATAGGTGTGGATGGTGGTCCCGCTCTTCTCCGACCTGCCTGTTTATCTCCCCCAATTCTATCAAATGCTTCCCACGGGTCAGTTGAGCTAATTGACTCTTGGTTACCATCTCATTTCATTCCTCATCCTATTAATTCAATCGTTTCCCCCAAGCTCAAACAACGCGTCTGGTCTTTTTGATATATGTTGGTCAATTGATAAGCTGCGTGGCGGTTCATCATGAACGGACCATTTATCCCAACCAAGAACCCTTCTCATCCCAAGGGCTCTGGTCCTTCTCTCCTCGCTTGTCTTCTCTGTCGCCATAAGCATCTTAAATGTGACGGGGCGACCCCTGTTTGTGGCCGCTGCGCAGCCACAGGGGCAGAGTGCCAGTACACTCCTTCTCGTCGTGGGTACAAAGGACCCTCCAAGAAACGGCGCGCCAACCCGTCCCCCGAAAGGACACCCTCTTCTGATCAATCGTCTTCATTCGACTTTCAGTCGGTCGCACTACTGGATACTTCCCAGGATTGGAACGTTCCGGACGGACTCTCTTACATTTTCCCAAACGGCTTCCCTTCTTCAGACTCGAATAACTCCATTCCCAACAATGACAAGGCACTAGTGCCGGACTCTGTGCCAGTCACCAACGGTTGCCCTCTCACCCCCGATTCGGTGAACTCCGTCGCTGGTGATGGTTATCTCATCGATATTTACTACACGTACTTTCACCCTTCGCATCCGATTCTTCCTCCGCTTCGTCTACTCTATCGCTCTCATGTGCCGCCATTTCTCGAGCATGTTATCAAGTTCATCGGTTCCCACTTTACCCCGGCCGCAAATAGTGAGGTATATAGACCCTCGGTGATGTCGTCAGCGATGGAGCAAGAGAGCTCCGTGGAGAAGCTGCAGGCACTTTTGCTCCTGGCTGTTGTGCTGCATTCGCGAAACGAGCGGGCAGAAGCCGGGCAATGCCTCGCTACAGCCGTCGACTTGGCCTTCGAACTCGGACTTCATCGTGAGAATTTCGCCATCTCCATGGGCGGAGGTGATCCGGTACGGGAAGAAAGTCTGCGACGCACTTGGTGGGAACTATTCGTAATAGAAGGCATGTTGACTGCCCTGGGTGTTCAGCGCACCTTCCGCACCAGCCTAGTACCTCTCGAGGTCGGTCTTCCGTGCGAGGAACGCATCTTTCAGGATGGATTGGCCGCTCCACCACCTCCTACCATTGCTCAATTTGACGACCACATTTTTGCCGACGAGGAGCGAGATTTTTCCTCCTACACCTATCGGATCGAAGCTGCTCGTATCCTCGGGCGGGTGGTTGCTATTCAGGACATGCTTGAGGGCCAAGAAGACCATGTGGAGGCGATCGACGCCCGTATCAACAGCTTTTTCCACCATCTTCCAGAATCGAAAGCCGAATTAATGCGTCCAGATGGGTCAGTGGACGAGATGATGTTCCAGGCAAAAATGATTGCAAACGGAGCCAGTGTCTATCTCAATTTTCCAAGATCAGACTTACTATCGTCACCTGCGGTTGCTGCCGAAGTCATCTGCGGGCATCATGGTCCCTGCAGCATCCCGGCCTTCACGCACAATGATCATGCCATGAAAGCTCTCAAGGCAGCCAAGGAAATCTCGCAGTTAGCCTCCATCCGATTACCAGTCGTCAAACATACACCCTTCTTCATCTGCGCGCTGGTTCTCAGCTCCATCGTGCAGTTAGCATCCTGCTCCGTTAAAGCCGGGAGGATGCCCGAGCCCAGTCGGGAACGACTGAGTCTCACCATCGGTGTTTTCAAGACTCTGGCCCGTACGTGGGCCATCTCTCAGGCGATAATGCGACAGGTCAAGGCTGTAGCGCGCGACGTGTTGGATGTTGGGCTGCGGCCCGCCGCGGAGCCTTTGCAAATGGATTTGACTACTGTCCTTGACGGTGGCCGGTTTTGGTTGCCCGAGGCACTCCCCAGCTGAATAGCTGTGCCACCATTGCCTTTCAACCTGATTGATGCCCGATATGATTCTATGCAGTCTTCCTAAAATCTGCCTTGATACCCACAACTATGGTTGAAGTCATACCCGAGAAAGCACATGATTTGCGCCGAGAGGTAATGGTCCTCTTGATGATCAGCCGGACCCTGGACATTGGGTGCGGCCGAGGGAACACCTTACCATCCCATGTATTCTCAGCCAATATTTGTCGTTGCTTTTGGCAATGTAGGCCAAAATCTCATCAAAATGTCTACCCCTCATGAATTTATGGAGATAGCAAAAATAAAGTCACCAGGTCAGCGTCTAGCATTACATGTCGCTTCTTGAGCGTATTATGTGAGCGATAGACTTGTATCTGATATGTATGCTTTTATCTTTTATCCTTCAAACCGTTTACAGTTACGGATCAAACATATTCCACTAAAGCAATCTGTTAGAAGAAAGGAGTAAAGAATTCAAAGGCGAATTAGCATAGCCAAATTGGGTATCTCAATTGATGAAGAGTTGATAAAGCTAATGTCTTTCGCTGGCTCGCCCATTTGCCTCTCTGCCAATAGACGCATGATTTGTGCCTGGGTTCAAGAAAAGGAATGAATGAGAAACGAGGCCAACCCAAATTGAAACCCGCCGTAACTCCCCAATCTAGATGATCGTGTACGCTCATCAAGTCTATCTTCGAAACAGAAATAAGGGAAAGGAAGGAAGGAAAAGAAAAGCACAGAGGTTTCTAAGGAACGTAATGGTATCATAGTAAAAGCAGTGTGACATTGTATGAAAGAAGAAAAGAAAAGAAAGTGACCTAAAGAGACGGTGATAGCTGGTCAGGCGGGACTGGCTTCAGCGTCCGCTGACTGGGACGGTCCGCCGAGTTCCCTCATTTCTCGTAGAGCTTCCGCCCGTCGAGCTACGACGTCTTCGCGGCGCACAACGTTCCGGAGGCCCTCGCTGGCCTGGATGAGTCCGTCGATGCTGATGGCGTGGTTGGTCATTTGGTGGTTGATGTAGGTGTATAGTTCCGCCGGCGTGGAGCAGGTGGTCAAGAGCTGCTGCTCGTTGAGTTTCAGGAGGGCGAGAGCCACCTGGAAGAGGAACGTGCTGCCCCCGCCGCTTCCGGATGCGATGTCCTGGGCAGAGGGATTGCTCGCATCGTTGGTCTCCCTGTTCAAAGAGCTGGAGCCACTTCCGGTTCCAGGATTCACGACGCTGGTGACGTTGAGACAGAGCACCACATCCCAGACGCGGTAGAGTGCTTCGGCGGACAGACAGTCAGTGAAGACGGAGAGAAACCATTGGAATGTCAGAGCTTCGAGCTCGACGCCTAACGAGTCAAGGTGTGCGGCTAGTTTGGGCAGCACCTCGGAGATGTACTGCCGCAGGACTACCTGATCGGCTCGTGACGCGAGTAATCCGTGATCGTAATAATGCTGAGGGAGGATATTTTCGATCATCGAGGCGAGAATCCAGAAAGCGTCCTCTGCGGTCGGGGTGATGAGAAGCAGCGAAGCAGCAATCAGGTTCATCCCTTGGCAGTATCCCACCTCCGGGTTGCGGCGTGAGTATGCAAGTAGCACCTCTCTTAGTTTAGACACGCCGGGGCCTTTGCGGAAGAACACATTGTCGGTCAGCGTCCGGTTAATATCCATGTCAATTTGCGCCACAACTGACGGGTCCGGTTCGCTGCCACCGATACCTGCCACCAGATCATCATAGTAACCAGGCACTCGCATGGAGGATGCGCCGCTGCATTCGGACCAAATCTTCGCCCGCAGAGAAACTGGAATCCCACCAAGGACGAGCGATCGGAACTCCCGCCACTTTGCACGACCAACCTTGCCCTTGTTCCCCAGATTAGCTATCCCTACTACCTCGCCAACAGCCAGAGATGCTTCTGGTGTATCGACGGATTGCGCAGCTCGAGTGGAAGTCGCAGCAGCAGCAGCTTCTCCCTCCTTTCTGCGTTCTGCGCGCACTTTTCGCATGAACTCGTTCCATCTGACGGTCCGGTCTCGTTGGAGAGTATCGTGGAGCTCTGTCAACTGCTCAAGAAGCAATTTGACTGGTTCATTCTCGCCTGTAGACGCATTCGGCGCGGCTGCAGACGTGGGATCATCGGTGGATGTTCCCGCAAATTCTGGACGATCGGCGACGACCGTGGATGTAGATGCAGATGGCGGAGCGTTTGGGTTGACGGAAAGCGAGCCATGTCGATCAACTGCTACTGCAGTACTACGCGGCGGAGGTTCGCTTGCGGTGGTAAGTGACACAATAGGGCCGGCTGATGGGGTGTGAGACAGTAACTCCGTTGGCCGACTTGGAAACTTTAGATAATCTTGCCATTTCCGTATAGCCACAGCTCCAGCTTCAGGATCCTCGGGCGAAATAGACCACGGTGAGCGCTGAGGCTCCGCAGCTCCTTGCGACGCGTTTTGAACGTCAACATCGTCATCTCCATCTGATGTCTCGGTGCGGAAGCTGCTGAGTGTTTCTGCGATGCTCAGACGATTGTTATTATTCTTCGACATAGCAGCTTCTCTCTGCCTCTTTTTCCGACGCTGGTCGTAGATAAATCCAAACCGATCGGTGAGTAGCTCGCCAGGCTGATAGTTGTTATACATATAAGAAAGGGTTGGAGGTCGAGTTTCCATGGGGAGAATGGCATCCATTTCGACTGGCCCCAGATTAGTGGAGGTCTTGTCGCCTGCATCGGAGCTTGCGGCTTGAGATACGCTTGAGGCTGCATGTCGTCGACCAGAAGGAGCAGTTGATCTGGCGGTCCCAGTGGATCCATTCGTAGGTCTGCCAGGCGCACTGTGGATGCTCGTGTTGCTGTTGATCCGTTTCAAGGCCGCGACCGCTGACAGTGTCGTTTTGGGATTTGAGGGCGTGGACGAGGAGCCTCTAGTCTTGTCCTGATGAATGGAGGAAGCTCTGCTGCGGACGGATCCCGCATCATTCTCATCTCGATTAGTCTGAGAGCCTCCAGCAAACAGTCTGACCGTCCATGACGCTATCGATTTTGACGATTTGCGGGAATGAATGCTAGCATCGTCTCCACTGACTGCTCCAGCAACTGCACGTTTTGCAGCTATGCCACCTCCAGTACGTTCGCCAGGAGGTTGAAAGAGCTGCTCATCGAGCGCTTTCCGACGATTATTGTTTGAAACACGCCGATTGTGGGCATCCTCCTCGACTTCCCCAACATCGTCCATGATACTGCTCGCTCTGCTGGTTTTCCGACTGGCGGTACCACTGCCAAAGACGTAATCCTGCCAACCGCGAACAGAGCTCTGTCTCTTTCGGGTGGTCCCTGAATCGACACTCGACGTGCCTGAGCGCGAGTCACCCTCCGAGCGCTGCGGTCCACGAACAGTCGCTTGAACCTGATCCGAAGAGTGCACCGAGTCGTCCTCATGTAGTAGTGATCCCACCCCGTCGCTCATGGCCTCCTCCATGAGCCCATGAACACCTGGTCCCCGATGCCCAGCCTGCTCCGCATCGATTTCAGCGTTCTCACCGTCCGAATTCTTGCGTGGAGCATTCTCAAGCTCATACAGTCTTCGCTCAATATCCTGGTTGGAAACGGAAACCTCGCGGAGCATCCTCTTTAATTCCCGCTCCCTAGCATCCGCTCGCTGACGCAGCGCCGAAATCTCTGCGTCCCGCTGCGCCAGGTCGCGGGCGAACTGCCTGACCAGCTTCACTGCGCCCATACTGGCTATTAATCGTTCGATATTCGAATCATCCGCTAGATGCAGCGCACCGGGGAAATCATGCATGGTGAACGAATCATCGAACAAGGCGGCACGGCCAGAGTTCGCCGGGGGCGCCCCAGTCAACTTGGCTAGTGTGGACCGTCGGTCACGGGCGACATCGCCGGCACCTTCTTCCGCGTCTCCGTCCAGTAATGCGTTCGTCAAGGCGCGATTCAACGCGGGCTGGCCGACGAAGCCGTCGGGTGAGCGGTCCGGCGAGAGGGAGGGGAAGGAGGTGAGGTCGGTTGTGGTGGCATTGGAGGAGGCAGAATGGCGCTTCTGAGACCGAGCACGAACGGTCTTAGCTCTTTGGCTATGCCGCGAGGTGGACGAGGTTCGCGAAGAGGAACGACGCAGTAGTTGCTGGATATCGCGCTCCGCCATGGTTCGTGGGGCGGTCAAATGAGCAAACGGAGAAGCAGGGATCAAGTATAGGCTTCATGAATGCTTGATTTATATTCTCTTCCTGCGCAGGGGCGCCGATGTAGTATGATGGGGGCTTGCAGGCATCAAGTGACTCTTGAAGTCCTCGCGTGGATCTTGCTTTAGACTTGTTTCCCTCCCCACGTGTGGTCCGATGCTTTTTTTTCGGGGTTAGCAGATCGTTTTCGACGAAGCCAGGAGGGACGGTAAGCTCATTCCGGCAGACCAGCACAACACAGCAGACCGAATATGCAGAATTGTCCCGATGGTCAAGGACAATAAGATAGCAAACTCCCACAATCACACAGAGAGTCCATAAAAAGGAAAATGGGGAAAACCAGTTCTGGTCCATCGTTTCACGCGTTCTTGCTGGCCGCATGGGCCATGACGTGTAAGAGGTCATGTGACTTACCCCAGCCCGCTGCATAATTTATACTCTTTGATGAGTCATCCATGCCTGTTGTGCATTCTGGGGGCCTGCCTCGGCTCTCCGCATGAGCAGCCGAACATTCAGCTAGAGCTCACCCGAAACAGTACATCGAACGTGGACTTAAAATGACGGTCTATCTAGAGACTACTCCGCAATATTTCCGATTGTGTAGCTACTCTTCATATACACATTTCCAATCCGACACCTAACCACATAGCACCATCCTCCTCTTTGCACTATGTCCGGAGTAGCCAAACGCCGCCTTCAAGCTGTCAGCCAGCAGCTGGTCGAGGGTATCCCCGATGCAGGCAAATTTGAGGATATCCCCAGAATCCGCACGGTTGCGTCTGACTCTGTTGGACCGTAAGTGCTGCCTT